TCAATGAATGAAGTTTATTTCGATGCTCGAAATTTTCGATCGATGCCCGAATAATTATTCACCGATTCCACTCTCTACATAAACATGCATATTATCAAAATTAAAATCAATAAATTTTTCGTACCTCTATACTGTCAACTTCAATTAATACCTTTTTTTTATTAGTTATAGAGTAATTACTAAAATAGTTCTTTTTCGCGTTAAAATGGTTACTAAAATTGTTTATTTCAAGGTAGGACAATTGTGTTACATACTTATCAATCTGTCTTTTTTATAAATATGCCACGTATTTTAAAATATTTATTATGAATATAATGATGACCTTCATTCCTACGTATTGCTTATTCCTTCAATAAAGAGATGAAATGGATCATAAAACACCACCTATTATGGTAACATCTCTATCATTTGCTTCATTATTATTTCTCTTTCTTGTAAACTTGAACACTCCAACTATTATACGGTCAATTTGCATATTAAGTGCCTCAGACGATAATACATCCTATCCTTATGCTTCTTATAATACCATAGTTTTGATACTTTCGGACTGTACGGTGATTGTTTAATTTATCCGAAGTACTCATATTCATCTTTTGGAAAATACATACCATTATTCTCTTCGTACCAGGACACTTACCAAAATTTTGAGTGGTACAATGACTTACAATCTATGCATACTATAGGTATTATTTATTTTAATAATTATGTGAAAAAATTTTATCAATAAACTAATTCTTTTATTATTTTTTAGGTTTGATAATTTTATTCATGTTGACAATAATTAGTATTATTATTTACTATAAAAATTATAATACGAATCTCATGAAATGGATTTTGGGAATTGGTTTATTTGTAATTTTAATGGAAATTATAGGAGATGTTGTCTTTTTTAGTGTCACGTTAAAATTTTGTGTCTTGCTTCTCACTTCTATATTTGTTCAATTATTCTTTTGTTATTTACATTCCTTAATAGTACTGTCATATTCATGCTATTATTGACTTTAGTAGTATTTATCAGTGATGGTAAATGACCTGGTCATTTGCAAATTTTTCAAATGACCTCAAATGACCCCGAAATGACCGGTCATTATC